CTGCTACTACTACTACTCCTCCTACTCCTACTCCTACTCCTACTCCTACTGCTACTGCTACTGCTACTTCTAATGCTACTGCTACTGCTACTGCCCCTTCCTCTGCAGCTGCCATCAAGACCTACCGCCTTAAAGCGCCAAGCCTTATGCCGATGAGCTCGAACGACCAAGCAGCAGCTCGGAATCACGCCCAAACCCAAAACAAGTTGTTCAATCTGGACAGGTCGTCCTCTCTCTGCAGGAGGAGCAGCTGCAGGGCATTGGGCCAGACAAGGCATTTTGGACGTTTGGCAGTTTGTGGTCAAAAGTTTAGGGTGGAGCTTATTGACGTGAGGTTTTAGGTTTTGAGCCTTGGGACGTCAGAAGTTCTTGCTTGGTTTGGTGTGCAGCGATGTAGGCTGCGTGGTCACGGCCTGGTCATGGGTCACGGACATGGAGCCGGTGGAGCGGCATGAAGGGCGTTTGCCACTCGTGACGGTCTTGAGAGGGTTTCTGGGGTTTGGGTATTGGATTTCAGCCGCTTTTGGATTGGTCCGCTGAGCCCTACGATGCGTAGCCGCATGTGCAAGCTAAGCTTCACGTTTTGCTGGGGGATGCAAGAGTTGGGTTTTGTTTGATAGGAGCTGAGAGTTCACAGATGTAGGGTTGCAGGTTTCAAGGTTCTGGGCTTGCGGCTCTGCCGCGCTACATCTGCAGGGTGGTATGGGCGGCTGCCAGCAAGTCTTTGCTTTGACATCTTCGAAGTCTTGCATGTTCATGCAGCTCAAGACAACGCGATAAAGTGCTTGACAACACCCAAAGCACAGCTCTGCAGACGGTGGCGGAACGCCATGATCCTGGACAGAGGTGCCACTACAGGCAACTACTCGTAGGGTCTTCGGGTCCTCGCTTGTGCGGCATGGCACTGAAAGTTGCGCTGGTGCAGCTCGAGCAATCGCCCGTGGAGGGTCCGGAGGACAAGGCCACGTTACCGTTTCGGGTTTCAGATGGCGGAAGAAGGTCGGGTGCATTGCAGTGGAAAGATAGCAAGAAATCCTAGCCCTAAGCCTCAAAGCCCTCTTCGGGGTGAGTCCGGGTGGGGTGCCCGCAGCAGGCGAAGGCCGCCCAGCGCGCCGCAGATCTGCTTCGATCGGCGCCCGAGGCAGTGCCTTGACTCGAGGATGCTACGAGGGGTGTCATACGCTTCAGTATAAGGGTTACTGCAATAGGGGGACCACAAGGGATATTGTGCTGCAACTGAGCTACCATGGGGGGTTTACTGGAAAGGTCCGTAAGGGCTGCTCACGATAAGGGCTTAACCCTTACAGGAACCCGCTTGCTAGACGGGTTACCTTAAGGTCTGAAGTGCTTGTCACCTGTACAGTTCTCGTCAAGTGTGCCTGAGTAGTTTTCCTTCGATGCTCGTAGGCCCAAGCACAGAGCGATCTTGAGCGTGCCTTAAAATTTAACAAAACACATGTATCATAATTGTAGGTGCCACTTCCAACGTAGCACAGACTTCACCTTTCGTTGTTGCTTGTAAGTGCGCGCAAAATCTCCGCCTCAGTGTGAGCCATTTCTTGGGGTTCAGGTACAGGATGGCGCAGGGGAATGGATCATTCCACTTGTGTCTTATTCCCAGCCTGCTGGTTTGCATCGGCCATCAGTGTTACCGGATAGGTGTACGCTGAGGCTTTGACGGTTGCTATAAGGGCCCCTAGTGTTTCCTTTAAGGGTTCTTGAGGGGTCGCAGAGGTCTAGGGCCTAGGGTTTTGATACGCAGCACACTTCCTTTGGTTAGGTTCATAGGGTCGTCGCATTTAGGGAAGGTGGTGATGTTCAGAATTTCAGGGTCTGTGCGGGTCTTGAAGTCTTGAAGGTTGCCCTAAAAAGGAACGACAATGGAGACTGAATGTAGGGTTAAGGGTCTGTACCGGGTCAGGCAAACGCGGCGCATTCGGAATCGCTTTGAGGGGTTTTTTCGCCTGAAGGACTGCAGGTTTCAGGGTTGAGGGGCTCGCGGTTGTAGCTAAATCGATGAGATTTGGGTAGTTCTATATTAGGGTCCCTTTTTGGGCACTTTTTATATGGGTGCCGTGCTATCTAATTTAGTGAACTGCCCAGTTGTTGATGATCCGCATTTAACCCCTATAGACCGTAAGCCCGAAACCCCGGAATGGCTCTCAATCCCTCCTGGTATAGCAAGAAGGATCTAACCCCCCCCCCCCCCCCAACAAAAACGCCCAGGATATCTATGTGCTTCCCGAGCTTGCTCCCGTTGGCTGCTTGGCCGAACCCTGAGAGACGGGGCATGCCCTAGGGCGCCAACTGCGCTTCGGAGCTCCAGAGACGCTCCGAGGCAGAGTTCTACTCCCCTTAGAAAAAACAACAATAATAGGGATCTATATAGCAAATAACACGGTTTCTTCATTATGGTAGCTTAAATCAAGTTTCTCAACAAGAACCCAGCTTAGCTTTACGGTTTTGTCCCAACCCCCCAGACCCCATGCTCACATTGTTCCGCCACTATTGCCCTAAGAACTCCCTGTTAGGGGCGGTTGGAGGCACCGGCTCAGCCCGACCCCGGAATCTGCATCGCACACTCTGCGATGTTTTCGTAAACCTCCAGAGCTTCCGCTATCGCCAGTGAGTGTTTGGTGTATTGTTCCTGAGATTTATGGTGGAGGCTCCTAGGCACGAGATCGACAGGAGCTGGCCCCAGCAAGAAGATGCAACAAGAAGAGTTTGGATCCAGGCTCTGTGCTTCGCTGGGGCTGTGGGACCTGAACTGGGACACATTGGGACTCCGCCTGATATTGTGGGGCCTAAGGCTTGAGATCTTAAGCCCTAAGCCCTGAGACTCAAGACCTGACAGCCTTCATGCACGGCCCTCGCATTCGAAAGGCTTAGGACCCACAGCTCAGAGGGGTTGAGAAGGCATTCTCGTGTGTGCAAGAAGGGGATGGGGCAGGGGCCAGTTTAAAGTCCAAACGGTTCAGAGGCACATCTAGGTTGGAGGAATGGCCGCATGTGGTGCCATTAGAGGTGGGTCTCTCAGGTCCCGGCCAAGTTTTGCACTTCTCGCTCAGGCTACAACGATGCGGTTTTTCGGAATCTCCAGTTGCTCGCGGAGGACAAAGGGCTTAGGGTCCCGAGGGTTTTGAGTTCGTGGCCGAAGCTCATGCAAGCCCTGGGCCCCCAGCCGAGAATTTGCGACTCTAGGTCCTGGCTCCGCCGAGAAGCCTCAGCCCAAAGCTCTCCGCTCTCAAGTCCACCCTTCGATCCTCAGCCCTAAGACCCTAAATCCGTGTGCTTTTCAAACCTTGAAGCCTGGTTGCGGTGTAGGGGGTTGGAGTGCATGCGTTTAGGGTTCAGGGTTTTGCGTTTGTTGTTGAGTTCAAGGTTCTTTGCTTAATGGCTGCAGTTCGAGCGCTCTGTCTTGGACGGCTTGTTTAAAGGGCGTGGGATGCCCGGGGGCGCCACATTTACGGTGATTTCTTAGGTTTTGATTGAAAAGTTATGCTTTATTTTTTGCAGTCTGGAACGGGGGGTGAATCGGGGGGGGGGGGGGGGACAAAAACCC